TATATATATATATATGTGTGTGTGTGTGTGTGCGCGCGCGCGCAACCATGTATAATTACTCCCTCCAGTCCAATTTAATTACTTTTTTGGCCTTTTTTTGTGGTCTACAATATTTAATTTTAGTCCAAATATCAAGAAGGAAATCTTTTTTTTTTCAAAGTTACCTTGCTTAGGAGTATTTCTTGTATTTCCAATTAACAAATTAAGGTTAATATGATAGATTTTATTATTAATTAATACTAAAAGGTGAGTTTCTTAATATGTGTAAAAATAACTAAAAATTATTTAAAGTGGACCGGATAAAGTAATATATAATTTATGTGTATTGACTAGAAAAAATAAATAATAAATTCAGTGGCTATTTGTGTAAATGAGACAAGCCCATCACCGTTCAATAAGGAAACTGGAGCCCATAAGTTGTCAGTTTTCCCGACTTAGCCAAGGCAGCAACCGTCCCCGGTCATTTCCATTTCTGTAAATCAAAAAGAGATCTTTCTTCTCCACTCTACTACTCTAAGCTGTGATCTACTGATCTCATTTTCCATTTCTTTCTTCTCACGTCACAGATTCTCGATCCTTCACCAAATTTATAACTATTTGTAATAAATAATGACAGATTCTTTCAGATTCCAACACCGTAAACTTGAATACAAGCGTTTGGTTCCATCATTTTTGTCGTCTCACCGTACTCTTCTTACTCTTCTTTGGACCGTTGGATTTATTCTGATGGTCGCTTGGCAAAGGACAGCTGTGGATCGCCTTCTGATGTATCGAGGTTGGGGCCCACCTCCTCGGCCCATCCCTAAGCTACGGCCTCTAGTCTTAAATCTCTCCGATTTCGGAGCTGTTGGCGATGGCGTCACTTTAAATACAAAGGCATTCGAAAGGGCAATATCGGAAATTCGAAAGCGAGGTGGCGGCCAGCTCAACATTGAGCCTGGTTATTGGCTCACGGCGCCGTTTAATCTCACTAGCCACATGACGCTCTTCTTAGCTGAAAATGCCGTTATACTTGGAATTGATGTAAGTTTCCTGTGCGTACTAGATATCGTTTAATTTCCCAGTGCTAAACTGTTTGAAAAGGTTCGGCTTTTAGTTCGGCCAGAAGTATTGCGTGTTCAAAATTCAACCTTTAATAGTAAATTAGTAATTAGAGGAAATTTAGTTACTAACTCCAATAGAACAAGTCATTTTACTTGTATTTCAAGTTCTAATACCAACCGGAGACCTGATAGTTCACCCCTTTAGTGTACATACTTGGGTTTTGGGATCAATAGTGATCGCAAATATGTTAGGTCACCTGCAACTCAACATGCAATGTAATGGTGGGAATGTCAGACTTCACTCTAGATATGACCTTGCCACATCCACCTGCTCCTCCCAAGCTTTAGCCATATGAAACGCCCCTAGGTTCTTTAACTCTGCACTCACGGGCAAAGACTGAGGCGTGTTAGGTTGCTGCCCCGTTGCAAGCTCAAAAGGGCTCCTTCTGGTTGATTCCCTACGCTGCAAGTTGTATGAAAACTGGGCAGTGTCAAGTAGCTTGGCCCAATCCTTTTGATTTGCACTAACAAAGTGCATTGACCCTCTCCGTTTGCGGATGAAAACTGGTGGAGAAGTGCAACTCCGATCCCAACAAATTGAACAGCTCTCTCCAAAAAGCGTCGGTGAAACGGGAGTCACTATCACTTATGATGTGTTTTGGAATGCCCCAATCTTTACCACGTCCCTTAGAAACAAGCGTGCTGCCTCCTTGGCTTTGCAATTCGCAGTGGCGGCAGTAAAGGTTGCATACTTTGAGAATCGATCGACCACCACCATGATTGTGCCAAAGCCCTCTGAGTTTGGCAAACACGTAATGAAATCCATTGTGACGCTGTCCCATGGCCTTTCCGCCACTGGTAAAGGCTCAAGCAAGCCTCCGGGTACCTTGTGTTCAACTTTGTCTTGTTGGCACACAAGACATGTTCGGACGTAAACCTCAATATCATCCCTCATATGCGGCCAGTAATATGATGATTCCAATAACGCCAGGGTGCGTTTTTGGCCTGGATGTCCGGCCCAAACAGTGTCGTGCCCCTCTTTGATCAGTGTGCGCCTAAGATTGCCCCACTTAGGCACAAAGGTGCGCCTACCGGTGGTGTAAAGAATTCATCCCTCATATGCGGCCAGTAATATGATGATTCCAATAACGCCAGGGTGCGTTTTTGGCCTGGATGTCCGGCCCAAACAGTGTCGTGCCCCTCTTTGATCAGTGTGCGCCTAAGATTGCCCCACTTAGGCACAAAGGTGCGCCTACCGGTGGTGTAAAGAAGCCCATCTTCAACCTAAAACTTCTTTGTCTTGCCTTGGCTGGCCAAGTCAAGAAGTTGTTTCGCCACCGGATCATGCTGCATCCCTTGCTTGATTGCATCAAGAATATCACTGCTGGTTGTGCTAACAATTGGTGCCAGCACTACCTTCCGACTCAACGCGTCGGCCACAACATTGGCTTTCCCCGGTTTATACTCCAAGGAATAATCGAACTCCGCCAAGAAGTCCTGCCACCTTGCTTGCTTAGGTGACAGCTTCTTTTGGGACTGGAAATAACTTGTCGCCACGTTATCCGTTTTGACAATAAAATGAGCTCCCAACAAATAATGACATCAGGTTCTAAGGCAATGAACCACTGCCGTCATCTCCTTCTCTTGGACAGTATAACGACGCGTAGCATCGTTCAATTTTCTGCTCTCAAAGGCTATTGGATGGCCCTCTTGTATTAGGACGCCACCAATAGCAAAATCAGATGCATCCGTGTGGACCTCAAAAACTTTAGAAAAGTCGGGCAAACAACAACAACAACAACGACCCAATAAAGTCCCACTAAGTGGGGTCTGGGGAGGGTAGTGTGTACGCAGACCTTACCCCTACCCCGATAGGACAAAGAAGCTGTTTCTGATAGACCCTCGGTTAAAAAAGTCGGGCAAAGCGGGTTTAAAATTTAAAGAAAAAAATACTACTATTATTTACTCTCTGCAATTTTTATGTTACTCAAGGATACTGGAGTTTGGAGGGTAATAAAAGGAATCTAGTAAATGTTACTAATATATCTTAAAAGATTTAGGACAGGTCCTAATAGTAATTTTATGTTGAGTATGCCTAATAGGGCTGGAACGTAACCCTTTTCTGTTCCTATATTAACAACAACCACAAGTTACTGCCATTTGTGTATGTACACGCATGAAAAATTGCATACATGGGGGGGG